TCAGGCTGGTTTCGAACTCCTGAGCTCAAACAATCCGCCCGCCTTGGCCTCCCAGAGAGCTAGGATTACAGGCGTGAGCCACCGCGCCCGGCCCTTCTTATTATATAATTAATACAATATCACAGGTAAAACTCTGAAGTTAGCCACTGCCATTGACAACAGAGTATTCCAGTGTTTTCATGGTGAAACGGGAAAGGGCCAGGAGTTTAAAAAGTTGAGACAAATTTAAATTTTCTCTAATTTAAATTTTAATCTACTTGTTTCAGTATCTTGATGTTTCTTTCTCTCTTTCTCTTTCCTTGTTTATCTAGATGGCTTTGGAAGACTCAGAACAGAAGCACAATCTTTTACATTCAATCTTTGCTGATCTAGAAGACTTGTCAGTAATTTTTGAAACAGATGATTTAACACAGTCCATACAAGAGTTAAGTAATCAAGTAACAGCTTTACAACAAAAAATAATGGAAAGCCTTCCACAGATTCAGCGAATGGCCGATGTAAGTTTACACCATAAAGGTGTGATTTCTTATTCTTAATTTACATTTCAGTTAGTAAATTAGAGTTGTACTATTCATCAAGTCCTATACTACTAATCAATGTGAAGACACATTGATCTGGTAGAATATTCATTTATGTTCTTATTTCTTAAATTATATTTTATTTTACTTGGCAATCTGTAGTGCAACTATAACAAAAAGCATCTCCCCATTCTCAATCCAGAAGCTGTTTGTTTAAAGAGTGAAGAATTATGATGAAATAAACTCACTGTTTTCTCTTTGTCAAAGAGGAAATATTGTTGATTTAAAAGCACTGGTTAGGAAAGAGGGAATTAAAACAGGTAACCTCCTATCTTCCTTCACCAGTAACAAATATTTATTGAGGGGCTGCAGTATGCCAGCCTCTGGGTTTTTTATTTTTGCTTGAAACATCTGAAGCATTTATTTAAGGATAGAGTCACATGTAAAGGCAATTACAGTTAGTTCTTAATTATTTCCTTTTGTACTCAGTTACATTTCCTATACCACAGTCATGAATCTTCATGGAATAATATAATAATTGTTGAAGTAAATATTCTTGGTTACTGAAGCTTATTTTAAAGTTTTTAAATGCTTCTACAGTTTTTGATGGAAGTTACCCTAAAATACATTGTATAATTCTATATACCTTGCCAAATAATAGATGCAGAAAATAATTTCAATAGCATTTAACTTTTCCTCATAATTTGGAGACAGCACTATAAACAATTAGTGTACTTACTGTTTCATTTGCTTCTGACTCGTAAAGTTTTATTTGTTTGTTTATTGAATGGCTCCAAACTTCTGTGACTTGAAACCCTTAGTCTATTTCTAAGTCACTTTTTGTCTCCTTATTTCCTGTACCTTCTTATTGCTGCAGTGTATCTGCATTGCTCTCTAAAGGAAAGGTCTAAGGCCACTAACAGTTGTGTGGACTTAAATATGTAGGTTTTGCAGCACGTATTTTAACTTATTTTTGCAGCATTTTCATTATAAGGTTATGCAGTTGCTAGAGGTTGAAGTTGATGAGAGAATAACCATTGGACAAATGATCTATTGTTTAAATTAATCTCAGTAGGTTATAAAGTAATTCAGTGACACTGTGCTTGGCAGCACTTTTTAGGGGGCTGTTGAGAAAATCTTGTCAATTTTCCAGCTCCTGTATGTTAGTTTCCTAAGGGTGACTTTATCATTTTTCTTAAAGTGGTGGGAGTTTTTAAAATGTCAGACTCTCTTGCATCCAAGTGTTTGAACACATTCCAAAGATAAATCTAATAAGTTTATTTTAAAAATTGGTTCGGGTACGTACTAACTTTGTTCTCATAGTTTAAAATTGGCCCTATAATAATCTTTAATTCAACAAGTTATATAAGCAATGCTTTATA